GCCTCGCCCAGCTTGCCTTGGTCCGCGTAGAGGTCGCCCAGGAGATGGATAGCATAGAGAATAGTCTTACGCTCTTTGCCCTCGTTAACGTCTCCATCACTGCCTCCCTCAGCTCTTCTATACCAAACTGCCTCGCTCCTAGCTATCTGGCTAAAGCACGTCTGCGCGTGTGGAAGAAGTCGTCGTTGCAGGGCAGCGTAGTTCCGAGAAGAGCTTTCTGGTACTGCCCAACCAACAGCAGCTGTTGCCAGCCGACTAAGCTCCGCTGCGAAGTACTTGCCTCGCGAGTGATGCGCCCACTGGTGTACTACTGGATGTGTTGCATAGCTCGTTGTCCCTGTCGTCTCTGCCGCCACTTCGACCAGCGAGTAGCTGCGCAGCAGTTGCATCGCTCTGCTAAACTTGAGCTCGCTGCTCGCAATGTCTCCGACCCACCCTAATAGCATCTTCGCGACTATAGCAGACTTACTACTTGCTGCGGCAAACAAGCCATACCACAAGTCTTTGTTATCCAGAAACGACCACAATAGCAGCAGGTTGGCCGTGGCTTCGTGCTTGTCGCGGATCGCCTGATACGAGATAGCCCATGTTGTCCATACACTGCGCTCGGGGTAGTCCTGGAGTGGCACATCGGCTAGATCCGACGCCATCAGCTCGCTCCATTGTTGCTCGTAGAACCTCAGGTATGTCGCCAGTCCTACTCCGCTTTCCTGCAGGTACGCGCCTGCATGCGCAATAGCAAGTGGAAGGCCATCTAGCAGCGCTAGCAGCTGCTCGTTCTCGGCAGCATCTACAGCCGTACTGTTAGCTTCGTTGAGTTGCAGCTATGTGTCACCCACTCCTAGCTTACCATACTCATTCTTGTACCAGCTCTTCAAGATAGCCTTTCCCTGCTCCTTAGACACTTTGCCTAGCTGCTGCGACTCGCCCAGCTGCTCTAGCCGTGCTAGTCGAGTCGTCACCAGCACCGACCCGTGGTCTGCGCCTGACAGGTAGCGCTTCATGTCGTACGCATCAGGGTCTCCCCCTTGGGCCGTATACTCTCGGTCGACGTTGTCGAAGATAAGTAGCCAAGCTGCGTTGTTAGGTCGTGCAAGCCAAGCCATAACATCCTT